GCCGTTGATAGCCAATATACTACAGAAGTCATTGTAGAGTTGGTCATCAATCTGGGAACCAAAGTTTGTGATGAAGTCAATCTCGACGCTGTCCCGGTGAGTGCCAATGACAAAAACCAGAGTGTTTGGATTCTTGGAATGAGCCTTCACCATGAACAGCCACTGGCGCAAGCATTGGAGCTGTTGCTGGTCATCCTTACGGGCATCCTCTAAATTGAATACCAGGAGATAAACGGCCTCGGCCGGTCTGAAGAATTGTTGCATGGTCTGGTACACGCTGTCACCAGCATTGTCCCAGAAATGCATCTTGAGGCTAACAGGATTATCTCCCATGGAAGCATCCATCAGAAACTTCTGAAAGGTCGTGATTGGGATGCCAGTCTTTTCTAGATTTTTGATCTTCTGAGCTACCAACCAGTCATACACTGGGAACCCACAAGCAGTGACTACAGAACAAACAATTGACAACCATGTCGATGTCTTGCTAAACATCACAATCTCCCAACCAATCATCTTCCCGACTATGATGGCAACAACAAAGCCAAAAGACTTCTTAAGCGTGTAAGGAAGAATGAGCTTCCTAACGGCAGTTATCTCACGGCCTCTCAGTGCTCCATAGGGATGCACAAAGCCCATTAGAATGCCAGCAAGAGTATCTGACATGTACATGTACACGTCTCCTAAGTAACTTACCCAAGGCCAATAATTTGTCACCAGCCCGCAAACAACCACGGTAAACAGACTTACTGAGAAAAATTGATGGCTCTTCACAATTTTCTGAATCCCCTTAAAGCCGTCTCGCATGAGGAGAACACCTAAGAGATTGCCAATGACCAAGGGGGCCAGCGATTTGCCGTTCAGACAAAACAGACGCCTTGGTTTCATCAGACAGTATGCCACTGCGACCCCACTGCGACACCCAAGCCCACACAACAAACCCAACCCAGCACTCATAGCACACACTCCAATGTACAAGATGAAGGATACAGTTACTGCACACAACGGCCCCAACTGATAACTATTTCTTAATTGGGCACTGTACTCTCTTAATGAGACAGCAACACCAATGGAAACGATATGAAGAGACACTGACGTAATGAAGCGATACGCGGAATGGAAGTCTGATTTAAATGCAGGCAGTGACAAAAATATGGCAAGCCAGCACAGGACGCCAAAATCATTAAGGATGCCTATGTAAGAAAACAGGGCAAAGAGCACAAATGATGGGGCAGTCAACTTCGCTTGATAAAAAAACTGGAGGACAACTGTACTGAGCACCTGAAATGCTTTTCCGACGTCCCTCTCAGTTGTTCCCCTATCTTGGTTGTGGCCACGACTTTGTGGAGATTTTATGAGAACACCGTGCTCATCCTCAGATAAAGTGTCATCTTTGACACTATTCAGAACACCCCCCATAATATCAATGCCCTTGCAGACACACCAAGCAGCACATAGGCCTGGGTCATCAGCCGATTTGCAGACACCGGTATTGCAATGTTTCCAGTTCGGTTCCTGCTCACAGGTCTCGCCTATGGTGATGTCAGTTCCTTCTGTTGCCTGCAGCTCAGCATTTGGGTCACACACCTCTCCACACAGGTACTTCAGGGTGCTAGACTTGCCAACACCTTTATCGCCAATGGTGAGGATCCTTAGTCGATTGCAGGGCAGCGAGCCGCTCCTCAGTGCCTTCCTGTACTCTTGGTGTAAGCCTATGTCATTGGCCAACACTTGAAGGTTAAAACTGCCACCAAACCCATTAAAACCAGAGAGATAGGTTGAAAAATTAACATCCATGGCAACCTGGTAAAGAGGAAAAAACACCAGAAGTGAATAAATAATTCCAATGATAATAAAATGGGCTGAAATTATATTAAATGGTAGGCCTAATGCCACTGGTTATTCCCTCGCGATGCTGCATCATACCGGCAAATTTGAAAGCAAAAACAGAGTCAACGCTCAAATAAAGTCACTATCCATGGTCAAATCTCACGTGTCAAGTCTCTAATTCAGAAGTCATTTAAACGCAACCTCAAACACATCAAAATTAAAACTCAATATTGAGTTCTCTAGGGAGTTGACGTGAGGAAATTCCAAACTACACAAGACTTTCTATACAGTCAACAAAATCCCTACAGTACACGATGGTATGCATGCGTTTGCCAGTAAACCAAATACTGCTTATGCAATGAAAATTTGCATGGCAGATAAGCACACTCGAAACTGCCATACATGCAAAGAAAAAAACATCTTATTAAAACACTTATTAATGATAGTACATGTACATGCACCTGTGAAATTTTGAAAACACTGAGGTTTTACTCCCCAAGTGTATTTCAAGCTAGCCCATGCCATTGGCCGTTAACCTGAAAGAAAATGTCATTCAATCCAGGAGCGATTTCTTAGTATGGCATTTTATGAAAGCAGCAACACATGCCTATCACTCTTGCTGCAGAATCCATTTTCTGAGGAGTTACTCCTCAAATTTGGGACTTGCCATAGACCCTACTGTACAATGAACCATCAGAAGTTATGTTTAATAAATTCATAGTCTCATTGCTACGTCTACGCAAACGGTCAAATCATACTTCTTCAGTACCGTAGTCTATATATGTTAGCCCATCAAGTCTATAATCTTGTACACAAGTTGTAACACAATGTACGTTAAAGTGCACCTCAAGACGTTGATAATCACATTCCTTGTGGTATAGCATCCAAGCTGGCTGATTAACCTCCCATCCTCTACATTGGAGAAAGTTTCGTTACCAGTGTCACCTCTGGCAGATCATTATTATAGATTCTGCGATATATAGAGCAAGGAAGCAGATGATATACATGTTTATACAGCCTCTGCCGTGTTTAGTTTAGACCATAGAGCAAGGAACTCATCACCGTGCAGTTAAACTTAAGCCCCCCACAATCAGCAACAAAAATATGGAAAGAATCCCATAAATTACAGGTACATCGTAATACATGTATTTAAAACAGACCGAACACATACACAATCCATGCGCTTTACGTGCGACACGTGGACGGGCCCGCCGAGCGCGTGCAGCGATCCGAACTCAAGTTGATTTTGTTTGATCAAAAGAGTCACGCTTATTATAATTTATACATGGTCATATACACGTTCGTTGCTTCAAGCTTCCTCCATCGTCCATGTACAGATTCACTGGTGACCTAACGCAAGCTTTATTGCAGGGCAGGAGTGACCCGATACTGAAACATGTAGTTGTCGTTCATCGTAGAGAAAACATAAAGTAACCTGATCATGTGCAATGAAAGTGCATGCTGGAAATTCCCTTCAGGAAACACAGAGCTGACACGGGAAACACAGCCCATAGACGCATGACCCCGTTAAATTAAAGGGGCACATCCGATTGGTTTGGAATGGGGGTTCACATAGGCTTAGATTCTTCCCAGAATTCAGTAAGATCACATAAAATTATCGAGCGTCTCAAACGTCGAACCATAACTTTCACTGATAAGTGGCAATTTTACGGGTATACTAAGACTCGACGCTTTGTATACTTGAGAAGTGAACTTGTATGGTTTTCGGATTTCATTTTGAAATGGATCGAGTGTGATTGTCATTAACATTAAACATCTCATTTTATAGTAGGCCTATATAGTTTCTAAAATGACATTGTATTTGTAGCCCCCCCATCATTGAGCGCGAAACTTTACAGTGACTAAAATTGTCGGCATGTGGCAATACACATGCCGACAAGTGTGGCAATACATCTCGAAACCAAGCAAATCTCCAGAAATTGACGTTTTGGTGGAGATAAAGGCCCAGGCTCTCTTCACGTATTGCGGCGACTGGCACTTCTCGTGAAAGGCCCATTTTCCGGCCCATCACCGTCGATTTCCCTGTCGTCGACACACATATTTACCCAAATTGGGTTTACTGTAATTTGCTAGAAGGCGTCGGGCCTATAAAAGCCGGAAGACTTGAACCCTTACCTGAAGTTGGTGTACTAGCGCTTCGAGCACGACTTCTGGTAATCTGTGTTACTGTAGTACATTACGGACTTGATACACTAAGTTCACGGGCCTCTGTCCCGCTTGAAATTATCTTTAGAAGATGACGTCAGACCTTATAGTACATCGGCACGTTTGACAGTCACCCCTTCATCCTTGACTGGCACTGCATGAAGAGGTAATCCGAGCCACTGGATTGAACTTAGGCTAACGCTGTTGGTAACTGTCCGCAGTATATTAAAGGAATATTTTCCGATAGCAAGATCCATCATTATTAGAAGGTAAGACTGTCCAGACGTGCTGTGTCATGTTTCCTCAGTACTGTCCGTGGTATTTTACACTGATGCTCATTCGTATTTAGAACATTTAGAATAGTTCTACATCTCATTTTCTGCATGACAAGCAGAAGTGTGGATCCTTTTACGCTCATATTTAGTTCAACAGTCAGTTTCAAGAGGTAACCGTGTAGTTACACACGCCAGGCAGCTCATCTTGAAAAACAGTACTTCTGACCCTCTTCACCAGTAGTAGAATTTTGGGGAACTAGTTTTTTAATACAACAAGATGGGGACACTAGCATCTGAATTACGGCTATAAACGTGCCTCTGGGGGATTTTGTCAAAAAGAATTAAAGTCTGAGATTTCAGCACTGGTAGCTTTCACAAGGCGGCAAGATCAAGAACCACGACAGGATCCCTAGAAAGTCCTATAATAAATATCTAATAAAAAACACGCAGGAAGGAATAGGAAGGCCAATTTCCCCCGAACCCCCCCCCCAAGCAAGTGTGTATTTGCCTGCAACTGGGGACCCCCTATTGTTCCTCTTTTGTTTGTACTTTAACTTTTTTAGAAGACCACCCATACGTTTTGTACACAGTTGTCAATTGGGGACCCTCTGTCAATCGGGGACCTTATTGTCCTCTTTTGTTCAGGGTCCCCAGTTGAATGCAGAAACAAACTCACATTTTTCTTCCGGGGGTACATAGTTCCTACTTTCGGTAAGTCCTTCAACGGGGTTGATATGTTTACTATAGTGAATTATACGAAGCCGAATTAGAGTCAAAAAGATCGGAACATGTTTTCGAGAAATGCAATGCTTTTTTAAAAAATGGAATTTTGGGGGGAATGTAATTTTTTTCAAACACACTGTACTTTGAATTGTTGACTCTAATTCTGCTTCGTAGACTTATATCATATAAAAATTGTTGCCACGCCTAATTTATGTAGTACTTAGTGTATCCTGGTTGCCATACGTTGTTCACTGCAGCCTGCGGCTATAGGCTATATACACACTCAGTTCTGGATATTGTAACAGTCGTGACTATTTTACGTTTGCAAAGTCTAATGTTTAAACAAACATTAGAAAACTGATGATACATGTTCCATGTGAACTAAGGACAGTTTCCTTTGCCTCTATCGATATACAGCGTAATGTATAAAATGACGTGATATAACTGGTAAGCCGAACAACATTGGAACCACGTGCAGCACAATGTCTAGCCTCGTCCTCTAGTCGCCAGTATCCATACTACGCATTCGCTGTTTCATCTTACCAGTGTTCATGTTTATATAATGTGCAAATATATGTTTACAAAAATGTTTTCATAAAACATGAATTGTTTAATCTATATGGCCTTATGACATTGCTAGCCGACTTTCAGTCGTACGATTGAGTAATGAATTAATCCATTCTGTTTACAACCTTATGAAAGAAAATACTCTGACCTGTAGCCTTCAAAACAGTAACCAGTCCCACCTGAATAATTGAAATCAACTTAAACTTACAACTGAGAACAAGCTGAACATCATTCTTGTTTCTGAATCATATCTGAATGAAGAAAATTACATGTATTAGCATCTTCCATTGATAGAATAATCAAAACTTCCAAAAATTGAAAAAAACCTTACTGTTGGTTCTGACCATAACATTCTGTTGGAGTGTCTGATCCTCTCCGTCGACCAGATCTGCCTACGAGCTGGAAACCCGGTTTGGAGAAGTGAAGTTTGAAGGTCACGGTCATTACATAACTAACAATGGAGGAGTTGTTGCTGTCCCCAACCAGATTTCCTGAGGTGGTACGTACAATGGTATAATTGACCTTTTCCGTTGACATGGACATTTCCTCCTTGATTTTCTCCCAAACATTACACAGTATTGTTGTCATGTCCACTGTGCGGCAATCAACAAGTCCCCGCAAATTCATCACTGGAAGGCTATCACACGTCATCCAGTAATTTCGGCTACACATTGAAGCTATTTAAATGACTGGTGGCTAAAAGCATTTCCTTGTCACTGTTCACATTCTGTGAGGACTTGTGACTGGAACTATAAACTGACCGACTTTTTATGGACACGACTGTATGTGCTTTTTATTGGAAATCAAGTTGCATTTGACCCTTTCAAAAGTCGTATAGATCTGATTAGGAATTTCTAGTACTTGTTCTGGGCTTCTTTGAAAAACAGTGTGGTGTTTAAAGGTACCAAAGTTTCATCAGAAACGAAAAGAACATTGTAAAGATAATACAGATACTTTGTAGATTAAAAAACTATGGGGAAGATATACACCGTTCACCTCGTTTTTATTCAGAATAGTCTTGACTGAGAGTCACTTCAATTGTGCTACATACGTTTACAGGACCTTTTAAAATTTCCTGTACAAGAATATATGGTACTTATTTTCCATGTAGGGGCTGAATCAGTGGGGCTCTTCTGGAGCATGGGGCCTCTCCAGGTCAGACACTGGGTGTTCGTTTCTTCGTAAAGATACCACTAAGCCCGCGACTGTAGATCTTTATTTGCACCATGGACATCTCGACACCGAAGCATTACAAACGGCTGCACCGGATGCGACTGCACATGTGCAAGAACGTCCAAAGGATCACTGTCTACAGCGGGCGCAGTAGGGGGCCCTTTTTACTCAACCCAAAATTGGGTTTGCTTTTAGAGTCTTTTTTAAAGAGCAATTTTTTTTGCTGTGTACAGGCCCATTTGAGATTTGAATGAAAATTTTAAATAATTAAACGATTCTTTAAACATAATAAAATTCATAGTTGAAGCAATAAAATAAACCACCCACACTAATATGCGACACATGCTTCCTTTTGTGAAAGAGAGTATTTTTACTAGCCTTACCAGCACCTGTTTTAACAAAGGTTACAGGTTGGTAACGTAGTCGTCATGGTTTTAGGCCTGTGCACTTTGTATTGTTACAACGTACCCGTTATGCTTGGTTCATTTTGCTGGAAACAATACTACAGTCCATTTTATAAAACTGATACGGCATTTGGTAATGTTGAAATATTGATCAGAGATCGATATGTGTGGAACTGTGGGTGGTTTGGCGGAGTTCCGTGCATCAATGCTTCACACGGACTGGTCGCCACCGAGTCCATTCCCAATACGAGTGTCTACCCTCAAATAAACCGGTCATTGATTTAGAATACTTCAGGGTAGGTATGGTAATACGGAGGGTGCTGATGAAGATTGGATGTTGAAGTTTCTAAAAGGCCACCAATCATGCTGACGGAGCCTAAGGGGAGATTCGTGATTGGCCTCAGGTTCTGCTTTTGTTTTGTTCATTAAGACTATATTTGTTTGTTGGTGTTTTTAACACCTCAAGTATTCCTCTACCAAATCCAATTACCTCCCGCACTGTTTATTCCTACATGATGTGTGCAAGTTTCTACAAAGACCGTCTGTTACATGATTCCCAAATTGAAAGTGAGATCCAACTTTTAAAAGACCCTCCCCCAAAAAAAACCGCTGTTGTGAACTTTGTGGGCTATTTTTGTTTGTCTAACATGCATAGAAGCACGCTATCCTTGAGATAAAAATTAAAACTTATGTCATTAATGAAAGCCAGATCTTTGAAATACAAATATCTTTCCATAATTCCTCTTTATAAAATATCTTCACATAATTCATCTTCAAGATGAGATGAAGCAACCTGTTCAAACCACTACATAACTAGCACAGAGCATTGTAAGCTACAGGTTAATATTTTCAATTTTTTTTATTTCCAAAAGCTTATGCAAGTGCAAGGCATCTTTGACGGAATTCGAGATGACTACATATCTTCATGCAGTAGGTCCAGGAAAGATGGGTTCTCTTTCTTCTTCAGGTACTCTGACCACTGCCTTCCGACAGACTTCTGTCCCTGTGGATATCAAACCTAGAGTTGTTACCTGCAGTAATGACAGTCACTCTGTTGGATGTTTCACCGATAGAAATCTGGTTCATCGGCACAAAATCTGAAAGGAATAAAAAATTAACACACATTTTGGTGTACGCAAGCAAACGATCATGCATCAACATTTTGTCTCACCTACAGTTGCTAACCAAAACACTATTGGCCTCCAAAACACTGCAAGATTAGAAACTTGACAAACTCTGTGAAGTAAATCTTACCTTCCGACACCCGGCAATCTTTTTGCGAGTTAAGAGTTGAATTTGAAGAGCTTCGCCTTCCACAAGTTACCTTCAGCTGTCAATATAATTAATATGAGAGCATTATGGGCTATCTGCCCAATTTTGTCTTGCCCACGAATGTTCTGAAAGGAAAAATTTGTCAACCCTTATCAAATTGAGAAACTTGTGCAACTGTCAGAGTATTGTCACTTTTCTCCAAATACCAAAAACCGAAGTGACGTTTATTTGATATACTTATTAGAAAAATATACGACATCTATTTTTTAAAAGAGCAAAACAGTAAAACGCGTTGTAGTTTGTATTTGCTTTAGTGTAGGAGATTGGTTTTGGCTCTTCGGCTCTTTTGATGGGGAGAGGTAGCTTTGACTTTTGGGAAGGAGGGTGTATTTGCTGGTGACGTACCTGTGGTGTCAGATGAACCTCATGGTATTTGCCCTGTGGCATGAAGGCCTCAAATGGCATGTTGGCTGTGGGGAACTCTTTGTCATCACCACAAACCTTCAAGATCCGCAGGAAGCTTTCCGAGCTGCAGGTACGACAGGCAGGTCCACAGGTGTACGGCAGGTTGGGGAAATCCCTGCCACGGATATCTTTCAGAAGAGTATGAAGAAATTGGAGGATCTATACAAGAGACGGGAGATGAGTACAAGTCTGAATATTCTCATAACCACTGGTTATCAGGGCCGAAATGCCATCAGCTTCAGGAAACTTCTCCTTAACTAAAAAGTGTGGACTGAGATGCAAAGGTGTCAGGTGAGCATAAACCTGATGCTGCTCAATAGGACTTTGTATTCAAGCCAGGCAATAATGTTGGAATTGTTCTTTACAAAGGGACAAGAAATAAGTTTTGCTAACAGTGATGTAGGTTGATGAGCACAAAAACCAATTAAACAACAGTCTGACATGCATTACATGTAACGAGCACTTGTTGTATCCATCATGCAAGACGATCACTTGAATTGTGTTCTGGGAGACAGAAATCCTCCTTAGCTGAATGGTGTAGAAATTTGATCCCTGGTATCTGAAACGGCCTCTGGTTTTAAAGACCTGCAGAAAAGAAGTCACAAGAATACTAGATTAATGTTTTGTGAGGTGATGTTGAATGTTTCCTAATCAGAACATGTAATTGCCTTGTGGTTTTTGATATTCACCCGTTCACTGGGATCTCTGTCACACCAACACCTGGCAAGGAGACGATGAAATAATGGGTCTGGGATCACATAGCCGAAGTCAAAAAAGTATTCTTCATCTTCTGGCGAGGG